CGAGCGAAACCCCGGAGCTAGAGAGCCCGAGCTTCCGAGGATTTCAGCCGACGAAACCATGCAGTTCCTCTACCCCGACACCGAAAGCTTCCATATCCGCCCCTCCCTATCGCTCGTTCAACACACACGCTAGGTGATGAATTACGATATCAGCCCCGGTGTGCCGCGACCGGACCTACATTACACGGAGGTGCTTGCTCAAACGGTATCCGCGCCTCAAAGACAATGCCCACGTAATAGCTCGTACTTATAGCGAAAAATTCATGCGAAATTGTAGAGGAAAACTTTCTCCCTTTCTGTATCGGATCAGCGCCATACCCACCTCCACCCCCACCTCCCCCTCCACCTCCAATTCCCCCAATTCCCCCAATTCCCCCGCGCATACAGCCGCACCCACAACTCGCTCAAAAAACCGCACGGTATGCTCATCCGCTCCAGTCCGATACGTTCCGATTTCATATTCGAGCAAATATTTTATTTATCCTTCTTTTATCCTCGTCCACATTCGTCGCCTTTATTTGTGCAACGACCGTTGCATCGGTCGAAATTATTTTACTTTCCTTCTTGCTTTTATGAGAAAAGAAATGGATAGCTGCAGCTGGCTATGCTCTATTCGGTATTCATATTACTGATGATGATGAAATCTTCCTTTCATCCGCGAATTTAAAAGAAAAATAAGACAACATAATATCACATCAATAATGTAGAAAGCATGGATAGTTGCCATTTTATTTCCAATTACTATAAGATTCAATTTCATCCTTTACCACTTTGGTTAATCCTTCAGCCTAAATCTTTTTTATTCACGAGTTGATAATTTCCAAAATTTATATCGCAACAAAGGCTTCTTTACAACGAGCCGCGTACCTTATCGAACGTAGCATTAATCTAAAAATTCAACCAATTAAGAATGTCAGACAATGAAGGAAACTAATCGCGTTAATTTTTTAATTGTCAAATAAAAAATAAAATGTGAATAATCTCGAGATTAATGCGTTATTTCGTGATTCAATGAATTATTGATTTGAATGACGATGAGGAATGACGACGACAATAACGATGATGATAAAAGGGAAGAATAGTAGCGGCAATAGCGATATAATAAATAATATAATAATTGATTGATCTAATGAAAAATTTTCTTTTCTTTATTATCTTTGTAACGTATAATTATGACGAAAATTACTTGACGGACTTATTATCAATAAAATATTAGTAATAAATTTCTCATTATATATTATCTATACCATGGATGTGAAATTCACAGTTCTTTCGAGATAATCATAAGGTAAATTCTTGAAAATTCTTGACAATTTTTAAAGGAAATCAGAAACTGCAAGCATTACTTATTGTCACATGCTCTATAAGATCTCTAATTTATACGTTACTACGTGTATTATTTTACGTTTGAATTTGAATTTTTTTTTTTTTTTTTTTTTTTTT